ATGGGTGGTATCCATGAGTATCTGTACCTGTATGACTGCAGAAGGAGAGCTGGGCCCAGGTACTTGTCACTGTTCCACCAGTAGGAGGGGCATGTATGTATGTGTCTCTTATGGTATGCATGTATGTATGTATGGGTGGTATCCATGTGTATCTGTACCTGTATGACTGCAGAAGGACAGCTGGGCCCAGGTACTTGTCACTGTTCCACCAGTAGGAGGGGCATGTATGTATGTGTCTCTTATGGTATGCATGTATGTATGTATGGGTGGTATCCATGAGCATCTGTACTTGTATGACTGCAGAAGGACAGCTGGGCCCAGGTACTTGTCACTGTTCCACCAGTAGGAGGGGCATGTATGTATGTGTCTCTTATGGTATGCATGTATGTATGTATGGGTGGTATCCATGTGTATCTGTATCTGTATGACTGCAGAAGGACAGCTGGACCCAGGTACTTGTCACTGTTCCACCAGTAGTAGGGGCATGTATGTATGTGACTCTTATGGTATGCATGTATGTATGTATGGGTGGTATCCATGAGTATCTGTACCTGTATGACTGCAGAAGGACAGCTGGGCCCAGGTACTTGTCACTGTTCCACCAGTAGGAGGGGCATGTATGTGTCTCTTATGGTATGCATGTATGTATGTATGGGTGGTATCCATGAGTATCTGTACCTGTATGACTGCAGAAGGACAGCTGGGCCCAGGTACTTGTCACTGTTCCACCAGTAGGAGGGGCATGTATGTATGTGTCTCTTATGGTATGCATGTATGTATGTATGGGTGGTATCCATGAGTATCTGTACCTGTATGACTGCAGAAGGACAGCTGGGCCCAGGTACTTGTCACTGTTCCACCAGTAGGAGGGGCATGTATGTATGTGTCTCTTATGGTATGCATGTATGTATGTATGGGTGGTATCCATGAGTATCTGTACCGGTATGACTGCAGAAGGACAGCTGGGCCCAGGTACTTGTCACTGTTCCACCAGTAGGAGGGGCATGTATGTATGTGTCTCTTATTGTATGCATGTATGTATGTATGGGTGGTATCCATGAGTATCTGTACCGGTATGACTGCAGAAGGACAGCTGGGCCCAGGTACTTGTCACTGTTCCACCAGTAGGAGGGGCATGTATGTATGTGTCTCTTAGGGTATGCATGTATGTATGTATGGGTGGTATCCATGTGTATATGTACCTGTATGACTGCAGAAGGACAGCTGGGCCCAGGTACTTGTCACTGTTCCACCAATAGGAGGGGCATGTATGTATGTGTCTCTTATGGTATGCATGTATGTATGTATGGGTGGTATCCATGTGTATCTGTACCTTTATGACTGCAGAAGGACAGCTGGGCCCAGGTACTTGTCACTGTTCCACCAGTAGGAGGGGCATGTATGTATGTGTCTCTTATGGTATGCATGTATGTATGTATGGGTGGTATCCATGTGTATCTGTACCTGTATGACTGCAGAAGGACAGCTGGGCCCAGGTACTTGTCACTGTTCCACCAGTAGGAGGGGCATGTATGTATGTGTCTCTTATGGTATGCATGTATGTATGTATGGGTGGTATCCATGAGTATCTGTACCTGTATGACTGCAGAAGGACAGCTGGGCCCAGGTACTTGTCACTGTTCCACCAGTAGGAGGGGCATGTATGTATGTGTCTCTTATGGTATGCATGTATGTATGTATGGGTGGTATCCATGAGTATCTGTACCTGTATGACTGCAGAAGGACAGCTGGGCCCAGGTACTTGTCACTGTTCCACCAGTAGGAGGGGCATGTATGTATGTGTCTCTTATGGTATGCATGTATGTATGTATGGGTGGTATCCATGAGTATCTGTACCTGTATGACTGCAGAAGGACAGCTGGGCCCAGGTACTTGTCACTGTTCCACCAGTAGGAGGGGCATGTATGTATGTGTCTCTTATGGTATGCATGTATGTATGTATGGGTGGTATCCATAAGTATCTGTACCTGTATGACTGCAGAAGGACAGCTGGGCCCAGGTACTTGTCACTGTTCCACCAGTAGGAGGGGCATGTATGTATGTGTCTCTTATGGTATGCATGTATGTATGTATGGGTGGTATCCATGAGTATCTGTACCTGTATGACTGCAGAAGGACAGCTGGACCCAGGTACTTGTCACTGTTCCACCAGTAGGAGGGGCATGTATGTATGTGTCTCTTATGGTATGCATGTATGTATGTATGGGTGGTATCCATGAGTATCTGTACCTGTATGACTGCAGAAGGACAGCTGGGCCCAGGTACTTGTCACTGTTCCACCAGTAGGAGGGGCATGTATGTATGTGTCTCTTATGGTATGCATGTATGTTTGTATGGGTGGTATCCATGTGTATATGTACCTGTATGACTGCAGAAGGACAGCTAGGTCCAGGTACTTGTCACTGTTCCACCAGTAGGAGGGGCATGTATGTATGTGTCTCTTATGGTATGGATGTATGTATGTATGGGTGGTATCCATGTGTATCTGTACCTGTATGACTGCAGAAGGACAGCTGGGCCCAGGTACTTGTCACTGTTCCACCAGTAGGAGGGGCATGTATGTATGTGTCTCTTATGGTATGCATGTATGTATGTATGGGTGGTATCCATGTGTATCTGTACCTGTATGACTGCAGAAGGACAGCTGGGCCCAGGTACTTGTCACTGTTCCACCAGTAGGAGGGGCATGTATGTATGTGTCTCTTATGGTATGCATGTATGTATGTATGGGTGGTATCCATGAGTATCTGTACCTGTATGACTGCAGAAGGACAGCTGGGCCCAGGTACTTGTCACTGTTCCACAAGTAGGAGGGGCATGTATGTATGTGTCTCTTATGGTATGCATGTATGTATGTATGGGTGGTATCCATGAGTATCTGTACCTGTATGACTGCAGAAGGACAGCTGGGCCCAGGTACTTGTCACTGTTCCACCAGTAGGAGGGGCATGTATGTATGTGTCTCTTATGGTATGCATGTATGTATGTATGGGTGGTATCCATGAGTATCTGTACCTGTATGACTGCAGAAGGACAGCTGGGCCCAGGTACTTGTCACTGTTCCACCAGTAGGAGGGGCATGTATGTATGTATGTGTCTCTTATGGTATGCATGTATGTATGTATGGGTGGTATCCATGTGTATCTGTACCTGTATGACTGCAGAAGGACAGCTGGGCCCAGGTACTTGTCACTGTTCCACCAGTAGGAGGGGCATGTATGTATGTGTCTCTTATGGTATGCATGTATGTATGTATGGGTGGTATCCATGAGTATCTGTACCTTTATGACTGCAGAAGGACAGCTGGGCCCAGGTACTTGTCACTGTTCCACCAGTAGGAGGGGCATGTATGTATGTGTCTCTTATGGTATGCATGTATGTATGTATGGGTGGTATCCATGTGTATCTGTACCTGTATGACTGCAGAAGGACAGCTGGGCCCAGGTACTTGTCACTGTTCCACCAGTAGGAGGGGCATGTATGTATGTGTCTCTTATGGTATGCATGTATGTATGTATGGGTGGTATCCATGTGTATCTGTACCTGTATGACTGCAGAAGGACAGCTGGGCCCAGGTACTTGTCACTGTTCCACCAGTAGGAGGGGCATGTATGTATGTGTCTCTTATGGTATGCATGTATGTATGTATGGGTGGTATCCATGAGTATCTGTACCTGTATGACTGCAGAAGGACAGCTGGGCCCAGGTACTTGTCACTGTTCCACCAGTAGGAGGGGCATGTATGTATGTGTCTCTTATGGTATGCATGTATGTATGTATGGGTGGTATCCATGAGTATCTGTACCTGTATGACTGCAGAAGGACAGCTGGGCCCAGGTACTTGTCACTGTTCCACCAGTAGGAGGGGCATGTATGTATGTGTCTCTTATGGTATGCATGTATGTATGTATGGGTGGTATCCATGTGTATCTGTACCTGTATGAATGCAGAAGGACAGCTGGGCCCAGGTACTTGTCACTGTTCCACCAGTAGGAGGGGCATGTATGTATGTGTCTCTTATGGTATGCATGTATGTATGTATGGGTGGTATCCATGTGTATCTGTACCTGTATGACTGCAGAAGGACAGCTGGGCCCAGGTACTTGTCACTGTTCCACCAGTAGGAGGGGCATGTATGTATGTGTCTCTTATGGTATGATGTATGTATGTATGGGTGGTATCCATGTGTATCTGTACCTGTATGACTGCAGAAGGACAGCTGGGCCCAGGTACTTGTCACTGTTCTACCAGTAGGAGGGGCATGTATGCATGTGTCTCTTATGGTATGATGTATGTATGTATGGGTGGTATCCATGAGTATCTGTACCTGTATGACTGCAGAAGGACAGCTGGGCCCAGGTACTTGTCACTGTTCCACCAGTAGGAGGGGCATGTATGTATGTGTCTCTTATGGTATGCATGTATGTATGTATGGGTGGTATCCATGAGTATCTGTACCTGTATGACTGCAGAAGGACAGCTGGGCCCAGGTACTTGTCACTGTTCCACCAGTAGGAGGGGCATGTATGTATGTGTCTCTTATGGTATGATGTATGTATGTATGTGTGGTATCCATGTGTATCTGTACCTGTATGACTGCAGAAGGACAGCTGGGCCCAGGTACTTGTCACTGTTCCACCAGTAGGAGGGGCATGTATGTATGTGTCTCTTATGGTATGATGTATGTATGTATGGGTGGTATCCATGAGTATCTGTACCTGTATGACTGCAGAAGGACAGCTGGGCCCAGGTACTTGTCACTGTTCCACCAGTAGGAGGGGCATGTATGTATGTGTCTCTTATGGTATGATGTATGTATGTATGTGTGGTATCCATGTGTATCTGTACCTGTATGACTGCAGAAGGACAGCTGGGCCCAGGTACTTGTCACTGTTCCACCAGTAGGAGGGGCATGTATGTATGTGTCTCTTATGGTATGCATGTATGTATGTATGGGTGGTATCCATGTGTATCTGTACCTGTATGACTGCAGAAGGACAGCTGGGCCCAGGTACTTGTCACTGTTCCACCAGTAGGAGGGACAGGAGGTGGAGCAACAGGCACACAGGATGCACTCGTACAGCCCCTCCAACTTCTCCCTGTCCTCCACCGACTGGTACTGCTGCTTCTCCCCCACCTTCATCTCACTCTTCTTCTTCAGAAACGGCTCAATGCTCCTACACACACACACACTCGACACGACACATTAGACAACATCGCAAGAGATAAATAATGAACTCACAGCTGCAAAGTCTTACGTTGTCAGCCGAGAATACCCACTTGGAGTGATTAGGATGTGGATTAACTGATGAACCAAAATTAAGCAACACACTACCAATTAACATGGACTAGCGTTTAACGCACTTCCGGTGCTTCGAAATTTTTCGACAACTTATGAAAAACCGCATATATTGGAAACAACATCTGCAAACTTTTAGTGTACTCTGACTGCACCCAATTACAGGGTTGGTAATTTCGAACTTTTTAATTTTTTTAATTCCCATTTTAAAAGCGTCATCTCGAAAACTTAATGGGCCTCTGGAGAAATTTGGAGGCCAGATTTGCAACCAATGAGAGTCCCTGAGAGCACCCTACTATAGGGTTAGGAATTCAAAATTTTGTGAATTTTTTTTAAACCTGTCTCCCGAAAAAAAAAACTGTCTCGGAAATTGAAAGGATTTGAGCATTCATATTAAGAGGCAAGATTTGAGACTCCAGGGTGTACGCTGACAATAAGGTTGTATCTTCATCGAGTTGGTAGTTTCAAATTATTTTTATTTCTTTGTAAATAAGTTCTTTGAGAAATTTTGAGAAAATCAAAAATCGTCACATCCGGAAACTAAAAGCATTTGAGCAGTCGCATGTGGCAAGATTCGCAACTCTTTAGAGTACCCTGACAACACCGAAATATTGCGTTGGGAATTTCAGATTTTAAAAAAATAAAAATAATTTAAGTTTTCTGAAAAATTTTGAAAAAATCACAAAAAAACGTCATATCTCGAAAACTACAAAGAATTCAGCGGTCATACTTGGAGGCAAGATTCGCAATCCTTGATAGTACTCTGACAGTACCCAACTACAGGGTTGGGAACTTCAAGTTTTGTAAATTATTTTGTTATTTGAAATTTCTGAAAATTTTTGAAAAAATCTCAAAAATCGTCTTATCTCGTTAACTAAAATGATTCGAGCATTCAAAATTGGAGGCCAAATTCGCCACCCCTAATTCGATATTGGGCTGCTTAATTTAACCACTAAAATCAAATTGGAAAGTCGAAAAAATAATCTCTTAACTATTGCAATATACGATATAGCTTAAACATGCAAAAATAATACGTTGAAAAAGCTTAAACATGGCAAGATAGTGAAGCCCGCATTTAAATATATAATAGATAGATTGAGTTGAATGAGACATTAAATAAAGCCTTCAAGTCGTGATTCAGATTCTACAAAAACCAATCACGGTAAAATCCAGAATCAATGTTTTTTGCCATTCAAACCAATCACGGTAAAATCCAGAATCAATGTTTTTTGCCATTCTCATTTAATCGAAAGTCAGACTTCCAAAATTCCTAATAACTCATAGTTAAGAAAAATGTTTGTCTGCTGGTATATCTGAAAAAAAAAGAACTTGATGGAATTACTCAATCTGTGTATAGTTTACTCGTTTGATTTGTAGTATTGAAAAATTGACGATTAGCCCATACAAATAAGTTTTTTCAGTGTTTCTACTTTTAGACGCTTTCTGCGTTCGGACCATTTCGCTTATCAACCATCACACGCCGGTCACCAAATTGAAATTTTCAAAAACATCATCATCCTCGTTGTTTTTCTACCTTCTTCTTGGATTCGTAGGTGTAGTGCGAAAAACCGAAAGCGGCCATATTCTTGATAGTGATACATTTGTGCGGATGTGTTCTGTTCTGCAGAGCCTTAAGCGGCCACTGTACATCTGTTTTTTTTATTTTGCCCGAATATGTCCTGTTCTGGGGACCCTAAAGCTGCAACCTTTTTTCGGATTTTCTGAACTTATACTGAGCCAAAGCGGCCCCTGGTTAGATAACCGAAAGTTTTCTGACAGCGAAATAAGTTGAAGACATCGGCAGATAGATGACGAGGAATGACACGAGTGAAATCATTACTAATTTTGTTCGCAGGCCTTAAAGCAGCTATACATTCTATCAGAGCATCATTAATAAATGAATAATTTAAAGGCAGACCTAACGTACGAATAGCAAAAAAAGTTGACCAAAAAATTAATCAGGAATGAAGATATATAATAAAAAAACGGCTTTAATGAAACAAGATAACGATACTTTGAGTGAGTTTAATGAGACATTGAGTAAAGATAATAAAAATTACAGAGTAAGCCTGAAGCTGCCATACCTAACAGCAGAGGATAACCAGAAGAAACACATAATTTTGTTTGAAGGCCTAAAGCGACCATTCAGCACAGCAGATAGACAGCATCAATCACAAACTTTAAAATTGAGAAACAATGAGGTTATTTTAATGCAGTTTACTCAGAGCTGTTCTGGAAACTCGTGCCTTGACGAATTTTACCAGGACGCGAATGAAAGCCGTCAGTGGAGATGTCATTTTTAAATCGGCATTTTTTAGTTTTTACAAATGGAATGTTGTGGTACTCTGCTAGACGCTTGTAACAGCGGTTTATTCGCCTGATTGTAATTCGTTTGCCCTCCCGGCAAATGAGAGAAAGTTTTGACACCTTAATGCCACGACTCAAACATTTAAGCAAAACATACTCCTTTTCCTCAACCACAGCTCCCTCACTCCACTCATTATATAATTACCTTTTCGATATTCTAAAATTCTGTAATAGCTTTTTAAATATTCAAAAAAAAAATTCATTTCTTAGCTTTAAAATATTTTGTGAAACTTATTTTTTGGGTAACGTAGACATTTATTTTCGATATTAGGAAACTTGTTCTTCTATATCATTAACTTTATTGTAAACTTTGTAGTTTTGGGTATTTTCGGTTTTACCCCTCACCGCTATATACAGAAAACTTAAAATAAAAAGTTTTATTACACACAGAGGCAAAGCAGAGCTTCGCAACACTTACAATATATCAAAAACATCCCAACGCAAGATAAGGAAGAGAAAAAGAGAAGGAAGCCGAAACTTTTTTTGGAAAACGAGTTAAAAAATACTTTTAAAAAACAAAACTTTACACCTTGGTCTTGCAAAATGATCTACACACAGGCGAAGCGGAGCTTCGCGCCAATTGCGATGCAACACAATCATAAAAAAGCAGGAATCGAAAAAAAAATGAAAAAGTTGAAAAAAACTAGGGGAACCAAAATGTTCGTATGTCTCAATGAAGGACACCTAGGGCTCAGCTAAAACTGGAAGTAACTATTTAATATTTTTTGAATTTGATATACTGATGCGGGACGAAATGCGTCCTTCAAAATTTAGACTTCGCCCAAATCCTTAGTTGTTCAAAGTGAGAACAGTGAAAATCTTACGCAGCTTCTTTCGATTGAAATCTTTAGCTCAGATTTGATAGGGTAATTTTTAAGAAAATTCAAAAAATTTCTGTAGTATAGTCAAACTCAAAAATCAACAACTTTTTTCTGCTAAATGCAGGTCGTGGCCGGTAAAGTAGGGAAGATTCCTAAAGCCGTATTTCTCGATTGAACACTTGAACACTAAACCTGAGAATTGGCAACCAATTTCTAAAACAGTCCATTTTTGTAACTGAGCCCTTTCACTTGTTTAAAGGCCATAACTTTTTTCTACCAGAAACTGGGTTTAGCAAATTATAAGGTTAAGCTTCTAACAACCTGTTCGTTTGATTAAAACTATGATATCAGTTTTGGCAGGATAGTTATCGAGAAAAGTCCATAAAACGGTCAAAAAATCAGAGAGTTGACATTTCCGAGAATCAGAACTTTTTGTAGCCCCTCATTTAGAAGAGATTCAGCCAATTTGATATTTCGCTTGAACCCAAAAACTTAGGTTTGTGTGGGTAGTTCGAGAAAATCAAAAAGTTTCAAAAACGATCAAAAAAAATTTTGACTTTTCCGAGGACAATAATTTATTTTGGATAAAAAATTTGGGCGGAGTCGCATATGCAAAAGAGCTTTTTAAAACCCGTTTTTTTGATTGAACCCAAAATCTTAGATATAGGAGAGTTTAAATTCAACAAATTTTGGCAAAAAAGGATTTAAAAAAATCAAAAAATTGACTTTTCCGAGGACAACTTTTCGTGGAAAAAAAATGTGAGTAGCAATGCTAATTCAGGGGAGCTTCTCACTAGCCGTTATCTCCATTGAACCCACAACCTCGGGTTTGGGAGGTCACTTTTTGAGAAAACTTATTTAAAAAAATATAAAAAACGGTCAAAAAATCAAACACTTGACTATTCCGAGGGCCATAATTTTGAGTTCAAAAACTTTGGGCATAACCGCTTATTGAGGGGAGCTTTTCAACTCCCTTCTATCATTGAAACGTAAATATCAGATTTGATAGGTTAGTTTTTGAGAAAAGAAGAAAAAATATGTCGGTCAAATATTCCCCCTACAGACGTTTTCGAAGGCTGTAGACAAAAGGGGAAAGCAAAAAGAGACCAGAGGAGTATGCAGGCACAAAAAAATGTAGGCGATTGTTCTATGTATACTCCTTTTTTGAAATTCAGAGGAAAAGCTTTCGGGGAAATTTTTATTTTGCAAAAAGTATTAAAATTTCCAAAGCGTCTCAAAAAAACTAAAATAAAAAACCCTTACATAATACCTGTTCATCAAACAGGAATTTTAGGCAAAAATGCCAAGCAAAACATTTGAAATTCAAATTAGCAACTGGACAAAACTTATGAAGCGGAAACAAGGCCGACAATCTTTGAGCAGACACCAGTTGAGCCGAAATAAACTATGTAAAAAACTTTTTAAAGTTTAGTTTCAAGTCCCCCCTAAACTACCCTGTAATAACTAGTACTTAAGTAACCAGTATTTAAGTTTGAATTTTCAAGAAATTGAGCAAGAATCCCACAAAAGCCTCAAAACATTTTTGCTTTCGAAACGTAGCAATATAAGATTTTATCGCCGATAAAACATTTGCTGAAAATTTTTTAAATTGTTTTATAATTATATCAAATCTTCGAACTCTGCATTAAGTCAAAAGTTGGTTTCAACTTATTTAGACTTCAAATTTATGACAAGGTCTTTGATGCCTAAACGTGTCAATTTTTGCGAGTATGAATAAATGCTTTCAATACTTATTACTTTTAACTAACCTGTACTGTGCGTAGAAGTTGGTCATATCGGGTACCAGATCCTTCACAACATACATGTGTGGCAGAGGGTAGATCTTGGTGGTCTTGGTCGTGTCTATCTTGCAGAGACAGGCCAGCTGGTTCGTTCCATCGATGTTCATCGCACAGGAGCCACAGATGCCTTCTCTGCACGAACGTCTGAAGGTGAGGGTGGGGTCTGTCTCAGACTTGATCTTGATCAGCGCATCCAACACCATAGGACCACAAGAACTCATGTCCACTTTGTAATCCTACATGCACAACACTCTTAATAGCATTATCAATGTCATATTCTGACAACTGCTATTCACAATAATGGTAAGATGCAGTTTTCATATCCATCTTTCTTTCACAAAAGACTGATGCACAACATATTTGATGCACAAATTAATCAAAAAATAATTGGGCCGCAGTGGTAGTCGGGTCAGTGGAGATTCATAAACACCGATTGAAGATTCTTATTTGCAGCCTTGGCACCACATGTTCTTATGTTGAGCAAAAGACCATTGACAAACTAAAGACTACGCCACTACTACGTGGTATTTCATCAACTGCAACAATGATTGTGTTTGAGATGATTTCCTTATGAACATTATTTGGTTGCTATCAATTTCTTTTTCAAGGGCTTATTTCAGCAAAACGGAGCACCCGATATGCAGTGCCACGTTTCACCAAATCTAATCAAGTTACCCATTTTTTTGTTAAATGTGGGTGGTGATTATAGTGCATGCGGTAAAAAAAAGTGTAGAGCAATGTAGTGAGGTTATTTTGTCACTAAGTATTGTATGTACCTGCATGCGTGGTTTGGCTTCCTGTTCTGGATCCCATCTGTAGATACTGAAGTTGGCCGAAGTGGAAGTGGACGAAAACGCCTGTCTCACACTCACTGCCGCCATCGCCTGTCCTCTCCGCAGACTACACACACTAGACACCACTCGACGACTGCTGTTGCTACAGGCAGACATATTAACTCTGCAAGACAACACAACACTCGCATCTTGTTAACAGTTTCACCATATTGCAAAGAGCAGATTTCTTAAAAAGTTCAAATTTCGTATACGCTTAACCGGTACAATTTTTTAAAATTCGTATATGCTTAACCGTGCATCTCACAATTACGCAAGATTCTAAATAAACAGCAACTGAGCCAGTTTAACCATAGATACGTTAAACCGGTTATTCCTTATTTGGCGTCTTAATATACGGGTCGACTTCCAAATCTAAACTTGACAAGATTGATCTTAAAATAAACAGATTAACTATAGTCTTAATCTTCAAGAAAAAGTTTGAATCAGTATATTTATTGCGTGAAAAAATGCAAATATATACTGTGAAAGAGCTTCATTTATACGAACTCTTACAACTTCTTTGTTAAATTATGCGCGTTGAATGCGAATCTGTGACTCTTGGGAAAAATACTATTTCCAATGAACTCTTCAAACTCCATAATAATCAAACAAGAGCAAGAAAATTGATGATCAACTCTGAAAGAGACCACACGTTTCCAATTTTTAATAAAGCAAGAAAATTCTACAACTGTTTCAAAAATATTTTTCTCAAATTTTTTGAAATGTTTTGCAAAATGACACGCAATGAAATTAACAACTTTCTCCATACTTTTATGGACTACAATAAGAGGAAATAAAGAGCTAACCAATTTAATGATCAATTTTTTTACCTCGATTGTTTTCAAAACTGAGAATCGTAAAATAATATAACGGTGGTACTACACCACCATACCTAGTAAAGCCTCGTTTTTTTTTGCGCTGAGACGTCTAAAAACATGCATTAATTATCTAACGATCTCCCAGACTGAATTCTTCTATGATGATTATTTATTTAAAATTATTTGGTAAACGTGGACGTAAACTGGAAACAATTTATTATTGTTCCGACTATTTGAAATATGGGAACTTGGCATTCAGGCGTGTTTTATTTTTTAGTTGTTTCTTTTTTTTTGTGGTTTTCCACGCAAAAGCAAGTACCACAAATAATCATCTTTAAGAACTAATAATCAATCTCATCTTTAATCATCTTTAACCACAAATAATCATCTTCAAGAACCACAAATAATCATCTTACAGAAGGCGTGTTTTAGTTTTTTCTTTTTTTAGTTTTTCTTTTTTTTTGGTTTTCCACGCAAAAGCAAGTACCACAAATAATCATCTTTGGAAAGGCAAGAACTTTAGCCTTTCCAATTGTAATTCGAACTACCTTAAAAAAATTTTAATAACCTCGAGAAAAACCTATTGGAAAATTTTGATTTTTGGTCTAATTTCGAGCGAATGAAGTGAACGAGCAAGCTTTTTGTTTTTCAACCAGAAAATTTAACACAAATAATCAACTGAATGGGTTGAGCGATACTTCATATTGAAGCTCTTTCGATCCTAATTCGAGCAAAATTCAAAAATCTTCGAAAGGTTGTCCCAATGTCGAGAAAATCCGGTTTGAAATTTTGGAGTTTTCGTCGAGCTCCGAGCGATAAAAGCAAGCGAGCAGGCTTATTAAAGAAGGATAAGTCATGAACAATTACTGCAAAAAAATTGAAAAAGAACGTTTTTGAACTTAGATTTTTTTTGTCTAGTCAATTTTTGACTGTGACTCGAATATGCATAAATTTAAGGTTTACGTCAGATCCTTTCATCACAGCACGCACAAAAAACAACAATTTGGAAAAAAACATGAAAAAAAAATTCATGCAAAGAACTTTTTGCACAGCGACTTGCTATCCTTGTATTATTATATGGGCCGATATTCGCAACTAAGAATAGCGTACAGGAGGTGTTAAGAAGATTCCACAACTCACATGAGGGATACAATTGTGACAGTCCGTGTCCAGCTAAAAATAATCCAAACTACAGAGACACAATCATCTCACATAATGCACTACAAAAGACTAATCAAATACTTTGATTTGGAAAATTTTTCAAACAAAATTTCGATTCTGATGCTGTTAAAATAGCAGAAGTTGCTTTTTTCTAATAATTTTACAAAAAAACCATATCTGTATAAAACTACCGAATGTTGGCAAAAATTTTAATTTGTCACTTAAATCTTTGGAAGGAGATTTCATGACCGGAAGCACTAAAACATAGCCAACTGATAATTGGAAAAGAGTCAATGAAGGCCAGGAAAAAAGAAAGAAAACTAACTTGCTTTAAAAAAAACATTACCTTTATTTAATGCGCAAGGTGGTGTAGTAGCAGTCAGCTTAAATGAAAGAAACAGAACATAGCCAACAGACACTAAAGAATCGACCGAACACCTATATAACTTCGGAATTTTTTTCGAAGGTTTCGAAATTTGATAAAAAATGCAACTGCGAAACTCGTACTTCTAATTTTGAGAAGCAAAACTATGCAGATTTTTAGTAACGAACTATTAGGTCAAAAAATTATGAAAAAAGAATTAACTTTACATTAAAAATGTTTTTTGATGGACTCAAAACATCCAAATATCCGATAGCTATGCCAGTATATTTGAAATTGTCCGCATTTATAAAATCTCGAAAACTTATAAAAAATAAGATTTTCATTTCAGTTCAAATTCAAAATAAAAATAAGATTTTCTTTTCAGTATAAATTCGAAATGCTATAGAGTGAGCCACTAACTCAATCAACTGAAAATCCGACGAACGAACAACCTATTTAAATTTAAGTAAGTAGAAATTAAATATTCGCACACACTATAAAAATTATCAAAATACAAAAAAAAACGTAGCCTTCAAAATTCAGTGCGGAATAGCCACGAAAAAAAAACATGCTACTCAAATTAGCGTACAAATAAAACTTGTACTCAAAACAACTGACTTAATCAACAACAAAGTCAAAATGTCGCTCAATAGAGAAAAAATAGAGATTTTTTCCGATTAGATTTTTCAGAAGCGGGGCTGAAATTCGCAAACATAAGCAACAAAATGGCAAAAAAAAGCTCTAAAAAGGCAAAAATAAAAACGGTAAAAATAAAAAAAAAATAGAAAAGGTAAAAGTGAGAAAATTATAACTTTTCATGCGTACCGGAATCGAATCTTCATTGAAATGACAAAACTCAAAACAAAATTTTTGGTATGTGCCGGACCCGAACTCAGGACAGATATCTTAAGACTAGCGTGTAAAGCACCTCCGGTGCATCGAACTTCTGAAAACTCATAAAACCGCATATTTTAGAATTAACTAAGAAACGTCAATCTCAGAAACTAAAAGCAATTGAGCAGTCGCATTTCAACGCAAGAGTTGATCCTCCAGAGAGAACTCTTACAATAGCCAACTACAACATTGGGAAATTCAAGTTTTGAGAAACATCAAACTTGAATTTTCTAAAAAAAAAAAAAAGATATTTTTTTGAAAACCAGAAAAAAGGTCATACCTCGAAAACTACCAAGATTTGAGCAGCCTTATTTAAACTCAATACACGCAATCCTTGACAGTACTCTAGCGGCACACAACTACAGGGTTGCAAACTTTAATTTTGTGAATTATTCTGATATTTTAGTATTCTGAAATTTTCTGAAAAAAAAAAACAAAAATCGTCGTACCTCCTGAACTGAAAAGAATTGGGCATTCTTAATTGGAAGCCGAATTCGCCACCCCTGAGATTACTCTGACATCCCCCAACTACAGGCTAGGAATTACAGATTTTGAAAAGATGAGAAAAGGTTGAATTTAATTTTCGGATTTTTTTTTTGAAAAAATGACAAAAAACCGTCATATCTTGAAAACTAACAAAATTTGAGTACTCAGATTTGGAGGCAAGTTTTGCAACCCCCGAGAAGCTGAGACTATCCTGAGAGACCCCACTACAGACTTGAGAAATTCAAATTTTTAAGAAAAAAAAATAAATTTAATTTTTTTGAAAAAATCATTAAAAACGTCATGTCTCGAAAATACAAAGATTTGAGCAGTCATATTTGGAGGCAAGATTCGCAGCACCATAGAGTACTCTCACAGTTGCCAACAACAGGATTGAGATTTCCACAAAGTTCTGAAACTTTTCGAACTAAGTTTTTTTGAAAATTTTTGAAAAAATCATAAAAAACGTCATATCTCGAAAACTACAAGGATTTGAGAAGTAAGATTTGGAGGCAAGATTCGCAACCCCTGAGAGTACCCTGACAGCACCCAACAACAGTGTAAGAATTTGAAAAATAAAGAAAATTTCCGTATCTCATACGTTTAAAGGATTTGCTTATTCGTATATGGAGGCCAGAATCGCAAATCCTGGGAAAACCATCAACTATTGGATTGCTAAATTAAACTAGAAATTGGAAAAAAAACTTAACCATTGCAATATGCGATATAGCTTAAACGTACAATTTTTTTTTTAAACATGCAAAAATAATACGTTGAAAAAGCTTAAACATGGCGAGATAGTGAAGCCCGCATTTAAATATATAATAGATATATAATAGATTCTCACGTACTCGCTTCTGCACTATGATCGCTAGTGAAATTTGCAAACACTATTAGCAAAAATTACTTAACAATTTATTTTTGCGCTCAGAGACGTCTGAAAACAGGCATAAATTGTCTAATAATGATCCGGCAACAGTGATGTGGCAACTAAGTCGAAAAAATTGAGCAGACAAACGAAATTCCGACCATTCAACTTTAACCGGAAAAAAATTTTTCAATTGCATACATATTGAAAACAATCAAGGTCCGGCCGGTACTCGAGCATCAGGTATTAGGGCACAAAGGCGACGTAAATACCACAAGGCCAAATCAATCGAAAGGAACATAGAAGCTGTTGGAGGTTCATAAATAAAGCAAGTTGAAAATTTCCAAGAAATGGTTGTTAACGGGAAAAAAGGTCTAATTCCCCGTAACAAGACATTTGCTATCGCAAATAAAAAAAGAGCTCTTGCGAGATAATAATAGCTTGGTTACCAATAATATTTAACCCGCGGGCTTAACCTCTGGCTGTGTCACTTTAAAAAATTGGCAGATTTGATTTTTCAAGGCTACATGCCAAAGCTGTAATTTTGCTTTTACTCCTCCCGATTTCAGTATCCACAGTTACTAGTGATAAATTCATTTATCCGGACAAAAACAAATAAAACTTAAAAACGCGTTTCTCTCAATTTGAGTTGATTTTAGACTAAAAATGACTTTAAACAATGCTTGACGTTTTAGCAGAATTGTTTGCTGCAACTGATTATGCAAATTTAGAACCACAATTTTTACCCCAAAAAGATCATTTGGGGCTTTTTAGTCAATTCAAAATTAAGCCAAAACTATTGGTTCAATTGCTGAGTAAATTTAATCGCACTGAGCTTCTTATATAGCACAACAAAGTTTTTAAAAATATAATCTTGAAAATTGGCGCAAAACGAAACTAAATTTTTCTATACAAAATTGAGAAAATTCTAATTTCTTCAACTTTGCTGGGCTATATAGGAGACTCACTGAGATAAAGTTTGTAGCTATTGAACAAATAGTTTTGACGTAATATTTGATTGACTTAAAAAAGCCAAAAATGTTCCATTTTTGGTGCAAAATTTCGGGCCCGAATTTCGCAAAGCGAACTGCATCAAATTAATTCTGCTTAAGCTTTAAGCAAGACTTGCCTTTGTCATTTTTTGTTTAAAGTCAACATAAATTTAAAAAAAAAAACGGGTTATTTGTTTTGGCCTGATTTTTTAAATCAGCTCCATAAAGACCACAATAGTTTTTACGTACTCGTGTGTAAGTTTCAATCATATTCGGATTGTTGCTTATGGTGAAAACAGTTCAAATAAGAAATTATCTTAAAACATTATTTAGAAAACGAACAAAGGTACGATCATGCTAAAAAGAAGAACGAAATCAACGTGACTGGCTTATTGTTGGCGAGTTACTAATCACGTTCTCAGATTATAACCAATAATCAAAATACACTAAATCAAATCAAACTTACTTCACGAGAGAACTGAATAAATTTAATGAAACTGCGTCAAGATGTTAACCTGCAGTCAAAAAATTAACGATCAAGTTGCTGATGAAAACAACTTATCTAGGAGTTCCATACATCACAGATTAAGCAAGTTAACTTAAAACTATAAAACTAAGTTTTGCTAATGATGTGAAGTGAGAAAAATAAAACATACAATCAGCATTAATTAAAACGACACAATAAAAGGTTAATTAGATAACGATTTTTAAAATTAACGTCAATATCGATTAATGATCAAACGAACTACTTATTTAAGTATACAGAATAGAAACAAAATGCTCTCAGTTTTCACTATAGCGACTAATTCACGTAAACTGACAACTAACTGTTACACGGGTAGCGTTTTAATAACCGCCTTTAAAGAGGGACAAGGGGCTTAATTAGTTATAAGAGCTTAGTTTATTGCTTGTGTCGATTTGACCGTTGAATGTTCTGCCTGAAGTGGAGTAGATAGGGAAGTTGGACTTTGGATTTGACAATGATAGGGTCCATATGTAGATCACGGATCTAGCGACCAGCGCGACCATCTCAAACGTGACCTCATAGCTAACTCTCATCTGGCGCCGGGGCGTCTTCAGCTTCACCGTTATCGACCCCGTTGCTCTCCTCGTTTTCGGCTCCATCATCATTTGAGTACCCTTCTTCCTCGTCTTCTTCGTCATCGTCCTCTTCATCCTCGCCCTCCGAATCATATCCCTCAAACTCAGCCTCTGCCACTTCGCCGTGGTCTTCATCCTCTTCTTCGTCGTCATAGTCTTCGTCTTCTTCGTCCTCGTCATCTTCCTCTTGTATATTTCCGTTCAACACTTGTTCAACCGCTTCGCCAACTGTCGTTCCGTTTTCCTCTGAAGCCCCCTTTTCGGTTTCGGCCTCCACATGTTTCTCTGTTTCTGCCTCCTGCCCGTTTGCAACGTGGGTTTCTTCCTCTGAGTTTTTAATGTCAGCTTTTAATTTGGCAATTTTAGCTTCAGGGGCCTCCTCTTCGACTTCGGAAGCGCGTTTTTGAGGACTAGTTTCAGACATTTCTGATCGATTGGCGGTCAAAAAATCTGAAAAAATAAGTTTTTTTTTTGTTGTGAAATTTGTCTGGACAGGTATTGAAATGTAAAATATTAAGATGAACAGGGTCTTTCCCATTATAGCCCCCAGCTAGATATGAAAAAATTATAGCTCCAACTGACTATGATTTGGCAATTAAGCTTGGTTTTTACATTTTGCTGCGGGCTATAATGGGAAAAACCCAATGAACGCAGAAATAAAAAAAACAATAGCTTGACAACAATTCAATTTTGGAACTGATAACAAAGTTAAAGTCCTTGAATTAATGCCATTAGGCTACCAAAGCAGCTGCTGTCTTCGACTCATATCTCCAAGAAGGAGGCAATTGCCTGTTTTTCTTGTAGTATCGAGCAAGTCGGTGAATTCGGCTCTCGACCAGAATTAGCCTGTACTTGGCATCTTTGTCCTTCCTGTTTTTATCCAAGTGAGCTCTCATGCTTACAGCTTTCTTGATAAGGTGATACAGATCTTCCGGAATTTCCGGGGCAACTCCTTTGGATTTCAAGATTCGGAGGATCTTGTTCTTCGTTAGAAACTTCACTTGCGGTACACCATGCGAGTCTCGTAGCTGAACACCAATTTGCGATGGAGTCATACCTTTCTTCGCAGCCTTCGCAATCAGGTTAATACACTCCTCAGCGGACAGCTTCAACCAGCTAGGCACAACTCGGGTATATGGGATTGCACTCCCAGAGATACCTTTTCCTGGACCATAAACACGACCCATTTTTGAAGTTCAGATGTTCTGAAAAACAGCTTAAATTGGTGAATTTTGCTCTCGACCAGAATTAGCCTGTACTTGGCATCTTTGTCCTTCCTGTTTTTATCCAAGTGAGCAAATAAATAATTTCCCTAAAAGTTCTCGAAAAATACATAATTTTTATTTTAAATTAGTCGAAATAAATTATTTATCAAAAATTATTCCACTACCATTATTTTTACGGAGCCCCTGGTTACTATAATTGATATTTTTGACCTTCTGATTACATTTGAAAAAAAAAGATAAAAAAAGCATAAATCTACTAATCAAATTAAAAATTGACAGCAGAAGTTCTTTTCATATTAGCCTCCCTAAGCAAAATATAGTCCCGACAATGGGGAAAATTACAGGCGAACTATACCTTTATGTGCAAGCTCGTTGACCCGGTGTAAATTCCAACGTAAATTTTAAAAACCTGAAAAAATTTTTCAATTAAAAATACAATTCAACTCCTAATATGTTAAAAGCAGACATTAATTCTACTTGCAATAGAAAAATAAATGACTGTCGCTAATAGCAGATGAACAGACAGATCGATCAAAAGACTTCAAGCACTGTTTCTCAAAAAGATAAAGAACTATCAAAATATCTGAAACCTTGGAACTGATAAACTGCAACTACAAAAAAATTTACAAAAGTGACGAAGCATAGCACTACATACGATAAAATTTATACAGCAGGACAAACTAACCGACAAAAATACAGATAAAAGCCGGAGGAATTAAGAGAGAGAGAGAGAGAGAGAGAGAGACAGAGAGAAAGACTTAAAATTACCCATTAGGGGAATTTAACACAAAAACCGTAAATTATAAAAGGGGCCCTGCCCTGCACTTTTAGCCCAACTCTTGTGATAAACTTATTAAACAGATTTGTTATAATTGATGTTTGTGCCTGTTTGTGGAGCGCCCTCTGAGGGACTTTAGAGACAGGTCTGTCGAGTGGCTTTCTGTGCGGAGGTGGGAAACTAGAACTGGCTTGAAGAGTCTGGTGGTGCACCGCTGGACCTACTGAGCTTCAGTGTCCTGTAACATTCGCCGGGAAGATAAATATCGACGGAAAATAAAACTAAGTCCTAAGACGACTGGCTAACGTCTAATCAGAGCTTTACATGCTTTTCACCGTCTCTACCAAGCCAGTACTTTCGGTGGTCTTTCTAACATCGGGTCGACAAAAACGTTACTGCTTTCGGCTTTGGTCAAAACACTCAAATTAACTTAATTACTGTGCCAGTCGGTCATGTCTGGAAGTTTGACCTTGAGAGACGCGAAAATACGTAATTTTGGAAATTAATTTTGGAAAATACGTAAATTAATTTTCAAATTTTCGAATGGAGCCTGTCATGTTCAGTTTTCTCGTACCAACTGAAAACAGAAAGTGAAAAATCAGAACATCCGAATTAACAATTGCGGGAAATTACTCAAGAAAAACAGCGGGAAATTGCTATTCGCAATTTCCAGATATAAAATAGGACACGAGTAGAGCTGTCTTATCCCGAAATAGGAGGAGAGACGATAAATAGAAGAAAGAACGACTATTCGGAACGAACTAGAGTGAACCTTCAATGGAAAGGTGGACAGCTTGAGTGTCCCAATGATTCATATAAAAACTCCAATTCTAGAGCCAGAACTTACTTCTGTTACCAAAACTGACCAGTATTAAACTTATTTAGTTATATTACCTAATTCTTGAGTTGCTTACCAATTTAATTACTCCTTGTGCTCGAGTACATCGACATGTGAGTTCGCAATTTAAATTTCTCGAGTGTGTTTTATGATTGTTATGTTGAGATAAGGCGAGTTTTAGGTTGATCCATCTGAAATGGATCAAAGTTCCACTGTCCAATAAAAAGTAACTTAACGGATTGTTCCGACCCTGTTTTTAACGGCGTTCGCGTAATTTGGGTATCTTGAGACCTAAGTATGGGGACCTTCTTATTTTCTAGAGTGGGGGGATATTTTGGTAGTAGCCTTCAAGCTGTAGCGAGTTCTAGTCTCATGTCGCAAGCGAACCGAACTGGCTCCGACCGTTCTTGAGGTAGAAAAACACAAGAGATAGTGTCCCTGACCCTTGAGCCAGTGGTTATAGGGCCTATTTTTCTTAAGCCTCATATGTGACTGCATAGGCGACTGTTACATACATGCAGAAATAGTGAGCTCATGGCTGGGTCTCAGTATCCCCAGACCACGAGGTCACTCCTAAAAACAGGGCTACTACTACTTATTGAATTATTATTGTTTTTGTTCAGTAGATAAAAATCATCATCTCCATCGAAGATGGATCAACCCTTCCCCCCAACTCCTAGCTTCTCATCTTAGTAAAATGAATTCAGATGTTAATTAAATTCAAATCAGGACATGACAGGGAAGCTAAAAGTTCATCTAAGATGATAAAAGTTTCAGTCCGGAAACCCCTCCGGATTCTCGAATCCACTGAATCAAGCACGTTAAGCTTGATTTCTCTGTAACCCGGAAGGCAGGTTTCCACCCCTCACTGTTGTTAGCAACTGCTTTGCAACTATTGTAGCGACACAATAGTTACAACTTGGAGCGGTCTCTGCTACTTCTGCTTTTCTCTGATTCTGATTCTCAATTTTCTCGTTGTTGTCGTCGTCGCGACTATCGTTGTTGTGTTTTTCGTCGACTTCTTGCCAAAATGGCCGCTTCTGACGTTTCTGAGAATTGTTACGTCATCACTTCGAAAATTTAATATTTAGGAATTTCCGAATCCTTCAGCCTTCACGATTTGTCCAATCGTTCGAATAACATCTTATTCCTTCTAAATCGCCAATTCGGAAGGTCCGCTGCTAAAAACTCGAAATCGCCGAATCTGCATTTTGGCACATTCTGGTCGAATGTCACATCCTTTATGCGTTGATGTAAAATCTGTTAATAAAGCGACAATAGGTAATGATTTAGTGCTGGACAATTATGTTAAAACAACCATCTCAAATGTCCGAGTACTCAAGAGAGTACCAAAAGACTCGCGTTTTCCCTTGGCGGAAATTCTGTCGGATAAAACAAATGACATTGTCTACAATGTAGAAGATGTTACAAAATGGCTAATTTTTTTAACGTCGTTTTTTTTTTTTTTGGAACAACCGAAAAGAAGTGGACGCAAACAGACCACAAGCATGAGCTCTTTGATAAATAAAAAAAATTTGAGCAAAGTACGTGTCACTTAAGCGATAATGTCCTTTCCGAACGGATCAGCAGCAGGTCCTGATAAAATAGTTCCTCAAATTTTTAAAGATCTTGTTAGTAAGTCGAATGGCAGTGCAGGACTTAATTTTCTGAAATCGCTTACTAAGCTGATAAACCTCATTGGAGATGGCAAAATACCCGAGCCCCTAAGACCTTTCTTTTTTGGCGCAAAGCTTATCGCCCTCATAAAGATAGAAGGAGGGTTGAGACCGATTGCCATAGGCAACACGCTGAGATGTATCGCGTCTAAATGCGCTGGAAGCAAGGACCTCTCCGAGCGACAAAATTTTTTCGGAAATAAACAGGTAGGATGCAGTACCAAACGAGGAGCAGAAATAGCTGCGCACTCGTTTCGAAACCTAATTGAACGCGACGACAATCCAAAATGCACTGTTTTTTTAAAACTAGATTTTAAGAATGCCTTATACTCCCTAAATAGAGAAACAAGGCTGAATCATGTTTATTCAAATCGCCCCGAATTGTCTAATTACACCCATTGCGCGTATGGTAAACCTAAATACCTTTTTACGGAAGCTCTGTCATAATGTCAGAAGACGGAACTCAGCAAGGTGATCCTGAAGCCCCACCCCTTTTTGCGAAAACAATTCAAACACTAGTCAAACAGTTGGAGTCGAAAATTAACATCTGGTATTTAGATGATGAAAATTTAGCCGACGACTATAAAGTTGTACTCCGAGACCTTAAGAACATTTTGAAATTGGAACAATTTTACGGCCTGAGCTTGGACACTGAGAAGTGCGAACTTTGTTTTCTGGGACCGACTACTAGTACACAGTATAATTCGATTTTAACACAATTTCGAAAAATTTGCCCCAAAATAAAAGTAAAAACAAAAAAATAAATTCTCATTTTAGGATCTCCAATCGGCGAACTTTGCCGAAAAGAATTGCTCGACAAAAAATTAAGGAGCTTGAAAAAATCTCGGATGTCATTGACAATCTAGACGCCCATAATGGTTTTTACCTCCTGAAAAATTGCTTTAGCATGCCAAAACTGCTATGTTTTTTGCGTACGAGCCCTTGTTTTTTCGCAAAAAAATTTTTTGGAACGCTACGACAAATTACTAAAAAAAAATTTATGCAATGTCACTAACGTGCAAAATGGATGAGTAACATTTTTTTCAAGCAGTTCTCCCGGCAGCCTAAGGTGGCTTGGACGTTTCTCCCGCTCGTCTACTCGCTTTACCCGCTTTCTTAGCCTCAGCAATAGGAGCAAAAGATGCCTTGAGCGAAATCTTTGGTTTGGAGCATGTGAATGCAACGTATGATGTTGCGCTTAAACGGTGGTTTTAACTTGGAAAAAGTGAAATGGCTCCGGAAAATCAAATCCAAAAAAATTGGACGGAGCCAATTTTTGACAGCAAAATTGCAGACTGGATTTTACAACTCGAACCAACGGATATAAAAAAATTCAACGCGTTCCATGATAAATTTGACTCCCAATGGTTGAACGTCATCCCGTGCAAAAATTTAAGGTTAAAACTGTCAAACCAACAACTGAAAAATTGCGATGGGACTTCGATTAGGCTCAAAAATATGCGAACGGCATAAATGCGTGTGAGAAAAAGACGTTAATGAGGATGGTTGGCTTGGCCTTTCTTGCCTCAAAAGTGCAGGGAGATTCTCTGGGCACTCAAACCGTTTGACGCTCGTTCCATGGGCTGTTGGTAAGCAGTTATTGTGGGATGTAACGGTAGTAGACTCCTTAGCTCCTTGTAGGATTAATGCCGGGTCTGTTTGTAACCCT